CTCCAGCAATCGCAAATAAGCCTCAAGATTCGGCAGCACAAGTAGGCGAACCTACACAAAATTTATAAACATCACAGATTGCAGCTTAAAATTAAAATATAATATAAAGATGAAAAGAAAATACAGGGATATCAAGGAGATACCACGCCCGATCCAAGAGCTGCTAGTCCTTGAATTGCTCCATAATGCTGAGGCAGTGCCTTAGTTGGATCAAGATAAGCATGCAGCAGAGTCTTCGTAATACGTGGCTGGAGACTGTGATACACATGACCGTAGCTGCACAGCTTTAACTTGTGAGCAACACAGTCCTAATTGATAATATGGGAGACTAACCAATATCATGGGAGTAAAAGATCAGCAATTGCTAAGCACCGTCATTCGAGCAGATTAAGAAATGATTTACATGTGTCAACAATTATACAGATATACAACCACCCCCTTCCCCTGGAACCCGATAACAATAGTAGATAGCAGAGAGTTTTTGGCCAATATTGTCCCTTATCTTTGAGGGTAGGTCTATTTTGGTCCCTCAAATATAGCCCTGAGTATATTTCAAATATAGCCCCAAGCATATTTCAAATATAGCCCTGAGCATATTTAGTTCCTTAAGTATGCTAAAGTGGAGCACCTTTAGTCTCACTGGCACAATGTGTTCAAAAACTAACGGTGTTACCCAACTATGATTCATGAAGCAAATCTTCTGCTCTGAAGCAAAATGTTTCCTCTCCTTTTATTGAATAACACAAATTATCACTTTAATTCCTGATTTTTAGATAATGTCTTCTAAAATTTTGACCTTGAAAATATCCCCTTCTGTGCCAGTTTTCAATGAGAAAATGACACTGTAAAAATAATAGCCGAAAAATATATAAAATTTGTATATTTTTTGTATATATATTTAATATACAAAAATTATACAAATTTTATATATTTTTTCTGCTACCAGATGTAAATAGTTTTTGGCACGGGTTAAAAGTGATAATACAACCTGGTTATTCGTTTGCTTCAATAATATGCCTAGAAGTGATCCTGACAGCTCTATTTTTTTCAAATTTTAACTTTTCTTTTTGGAAAAATCAACCGAAATTTTTAAATGTATATATATACAAATTTTACACATTTTTCGGCTATTATTTTTACAGCGGCTATACAATGTCATTTTCTCATTGAAAACTGGCACAGAAGGGGATATTTTCAAGGTCAAAATTTTTGAAGACATTATCTAAAAATGAGGAATTACTGTGATAATTTGTGTTATCCAATAAAAGGAGAGGAAATGTTTTGCTTCAGAGCAGAAGATTTGTTTCATGAATCAGAGTTGGGTAACACCGTTAGTTTTTTAACATATTGTGTCAGTGAGGCTAAAGGTGCTCCACTTTAGCATACTTAAGGGACTAAATATGCTCGGGGTTATATTTGAGGGACCAAAATAGATCTGCCGGATAAGGGACAATATTGGTCAAAAACTCAGATAGCATAGGAGATGCATGCCTTTTTAGCCTTTAATGAAACAAAACCAAGAGAATGACTGAATAAAGAGATCCCTACCGCCTGCATATTAAAGCAACCAACTTTGCTGTGAACTCCCTAAGTTGCCAATGGTTATCAGAGAATTTATTCCCCAACCTTTTTGCAACAAGGCATGTCATTACAGATGGCATCGACTGGTGCAGCTGGAAAGATAAACAAGAAAATCATCAGATGCAACTATGGGAACATCATTCAGACCCAAAGTAAAAGTTGCAGAATTATGTAAAAGACACCAATTTAATGAACAAAGTAATTTAAGAACTAATTCAGAATAAGGAAAATCTGCCCTCCAGGGGTAGGGGTAAGGCTGCGTGCATCTTACCCTCCCCAGACCCCACTTGTGGGAAACTACTGGGTTTGTTATTGTTGTTGTATTCAGAATAAAGAAAATCTAATATTGTCCATGAAAGCTAACTCCATCTCTTTTTTTATGGACATCTGCTTATTGTTTTATTTGGCATCTCCTTAGAAAAATAAATAAAGGAATAAATATCATTAAAAAAATTAAACACGGTCATCAAGGATAACCAGCTTCATAAAGACAGAGTCTGTAAAATTTTATCGTGCATTCCTCGAATAAATAAAAGGATAAATAAACTGAAGCAAATGGTACTGAGGTATCAGCAATAGACCCACATAAGGTTCAATATGTAAATGAGAATTCTGAAGAAGGCTCCAGACCAGCCTCATCAAAGCAAAAAGGAGATCAAAATTATTCAAATTCCGTGCAACCTGACATAAAACAGCAGATCATTAGATCATTTATCTGTCACTTACAAATATTACATTGCTGAACTTGAATCTTCGACTTACCTCATCAGCAACAAAATAAGTGAAGTAAGGAACTAAAGGATGGAGCCCAGGGTCTGTTGCTAAGCTTGCTAGAGCTTCCTTAAAGAGAGGGGAGTTAGATTTATTCACAGTAAGTTCTGTAATCTTGTCATAATAAAGCTGCAAAACAACCAAAGATGCACAAAGATAGAATCATGTAGGATGAGCAAACATGACACAACCATATTAGAATAGTTGTACCTGAAGCTCACGGGATAAGACATGCTTAACAGGTATTTTAAGATCAACAGGAACTCCATCCTCCTTATACTCAGCCTTTCGGTTATCAGCGGGCGGAGCAAGTGCTGCCATGATATTAATCTATCAGTCACAAGTATAAAATATTTTTTGGCAAGTAAAAGTAAGTCCCAACATGTAATAATCTGTAGATACATATTTTAATTGGTTCTGTTTCATCACTATCCTCTTCCATTTCTTTACAGCCACAGGAAAGAGAAAGAAATTCCAAACCAGGACAACAAAGAGAATGAGAATCAATATCATGTTGATAAAACAACGGGTAGCAATCAACAAATAATTGGACAAACCATCATCTATGTGCGTTGACATGTCTACACAAGCTAATTGCTGCTAAAGTTATCGTAAAAGACGAACCTTCAAGTGGAGGGTTTTCAGGAATAGCAGGCTGAACCCCTTCTATAGCTAACCAGTGAGCAAAAAGAGCAGTATCTAATGGTGCTTTCGGCAGAGGTGCTTCGATCACCTAAAACACAATAAGAGAAACTTACCATAAGTATGACTTAACGTAATCTAAACAGTTAAAGTTTGTAAGGGACCTGAGATATCCAAAATTTCTTACATCTTTGAATTCTACATCCTTCTCTTCGATATAGAACAAATCCTTATGCCCAGCAGCTCTCCTGAACCGCAAGGGATCTCCTGAAGCAAAACCATATATTGGCTGCTCAAGGCACACCGACATAAAGGGAAACAACATCAATGAGATTGAGAACAGACAGTTTCAAGAAACCAAAAAGGACTAGGCAAGGGCAATGATAAACTACATCCAAATCACGCCAATGAGCAACACCGGACGTACATTAGGGGCCGCGGCTCAGAAATGTACATTAGGCTTTAACATGGGGGTGCGGCCTTTGGCCCAAACAGAAATCCACTAAATATGTACAAAATATTAAATTCAGCACCAAGTTACTAGCAATTGAGGCTGCCGTCCTACAATCCAGAACCATCAAGTTCAAATCTTGGATCCACCTCAACAATATGTGGGTTCGGTGATACTCCACATACTTTACACACCTGGATATGCCTCAGGCAATGAGCAATAGAGTTGTAAAGGAGAGAAGAGGTACGTACCTCCACATTTCTCAAAGTGAGTGCAGAATCAACATCATCAGTAGATAAAGTAGTCCTTTTCGAATGGCGCATACATTTAATAGCCTCCTACATTATCGAATAATTCAAATTAACATAAAGTGCGCGATAATCACTAAAAAGAATCACAGCATTTATGTTCTTAAGCTTATCAGGAACAGCAAAATCTAGAATATTAATTAATGCAAGCTTCACCTGCATAATTTCACGAATACGGTACTCGGCATCGGCGGCGAGAGCAGGCAAGACATCCGGTGATAAATTGCTTATTCCTATGCTCTGTGCTATCACTTCTATTGTCTCTTTCGGCACTATGCTCATTTTTTGCTTCGATAAGGCTGTTTCACTGGTAATTTTTTGCTTCGATTAGGCTGTTTCAATGACAATTTCAGACGTAGGGTCCAGGGGATATGCCGGAGCAAACCGTGTGTTCCCAATACAATTTAGTTAATTTATTATTCGCAAATTTAATTTCGATAAAGTCAGTTAGCTTTGAGTTTTAGCTATTCGTCCGCTTATTATTATTATTATTATTATTATTATTATTATTATTATTATTATTATTATTGTTGTTCTTGTTATTATCATTAATATTAGCTAAAATACCTTAAAACCCCTTAAACTTGGCACGTATTATTGGTTACATCCTTAAACTATCCGTGGTCTTAATTATCCCCTCTACTTGGTTATTCCATTGTTACCCCCTCGACGATCACATCCTAGGAAAGTGTCATGCACTCGTCTACCACGTGAATTTTCATGTCCATGTGATATTTTTTAAAAACTAAAATATATTTTATACTTTTTTAAGTGTGTTATTTTTTTAGATAATCTTTTTCGAATAATATTTATAATAAAACTTGGCTAGAACTACATTTAGGCTAATTTTTTTATTTGGCTAAAAATAATAAAGTTTTAGTTATTGTTTCCTAAAAATAAAGATTTATACATTTGAAATAAATAGTCAAGGCATCTAAAAAGATATAAAAAAATACATAATTTGATTTTTATTATTTGGGCTATGATTTTTTATATAGATCTAAATTATGGAGCTCTAAAATAAATTTTTTTACAGATATTACTGGAAAAAGTAAAAATATACAGTTGAAATAAATAGTCATTGCATCAAAAGAAGAAATAAAAATAGTGTACAATTGCAAGTTTATTATTTTGGCTATACCTTTTTATTTGGTAAAAAATAATAGAGATGTAGCCATCTTTTTTACTGATTTGACTCGAAAATAAAAACACACAATTAAAATAAATAGACATTATATCTACAAAAAATAACAGAAAATACACAACTAGTACTCCATTATTTTTGCTAAAAGTTTTCTATTTGACTAAAATGATGGATTTCCAACCAAACTTCTACAAATTTAGCCCCCCCCCAAAAAAAAGAAATATGCAATTGGAACAAATAGACATTATATTTATAGAAAAAATTAAAAAGAATAAAAGTTAGAGTAAAGTGCACATTATATGTTATGATGAAGCAAGAAGAAATACATAATTGTAACAAATAAATCATTATATATAATTATATGACAATTAAAAGTTAAAAAAATAATCTACTTGGAAGCTGATTTTTTAATTTTTCTTCACTCATACGCGCTTAAAAGAGAGTGCACCCACACTCTTCGCCACATCAGCGCTCAGGGAGGTAATTGCTCTCAAAAGGCCAAGTTTATGGTAATTAAGACCACGAATAGTTTAGGGTTGTAACTAATAATGCGTGTCAAGTTTAGACTTGTTTTTAGGTATTCCGCCTTAATATTATCAATTTCAATTTATTTTGTTTTTTTAATATTTGAAGTTTGAATCATTTTCATATTTTTAGACAGTGTAAGCGGTGCTACTACATTTACATAGTGCCTAAAAGCAATTGAATTACTTTCAACTTGTTTTGCTGCGAGAAGTAGCGCATAAGATTCCACTTTCTAGTTTATAAAATATAAATCTTTCTGATGACTTGATCAGACTCGTTGTTCTTTGTGATTTGCACAACTATATGCTCGTTTCAACAATTTGCAACCAATATTTCAAAAATTCACTTTCACAATATACCTCTTAAAAATTAAAATCTCTGTTATGAAAATATTATATTGTGGATGTTCATTCATTACTCCACTATTATCCATTTAATACTCTATTAAAATTTATCTTCAAGCAGCTGATACAGGCAGGTTGCAAGCAACTCAATGAAATGATTTGCAACAACTTCTTATTAAACAGGTAGGTTGCAAGCAGCTCATGCAGACAGCTTACAAGCAGCTCATGCAGGCAGGTTGCAACAACTTCTTATTAAACAGGCAGGTTGCAAGCAGCTCATGCAAACAGGTTACAAGTAGCTAAAGAAAAACCTTGCAGTTGTTTCCTGAAAAGCCTCGCAGCTGCTTCTTCTCTTCTATAAATAGAAGAGTTTTCAATTCATTATGAAAATAACTTTGAAAGTTGAATAAAATATCAATCTCCCTTTATACTTGTCTTCAGTTTATTTACTTTACAGTTTTTATTTTATAACATGTTATCAGCACGAGACTCTGTCATTTTGAGCACTTACATCGAATTTAATTTCTATTTCAGTGTTCATCTCCGATGTAAGGCGACACTCTTATGTCAGTGGTCAGATTTTGTTCATTCCGAGCATCATAAGGCAGATTATATCCTTGAGGTGGTGAGTTTTTCTTCTTGGCAGTAGTGATGTAGATATCACTTACATATGGAGTGGCCAAATTTGCGTAATTTAATTTGAGCCTTTTGCTTATATTTTAATATCTTTATCATCGCTTGCTTGGTTATATGTTACGTATACAGTACCTATTTTGGTATTTGTTTTCATCCTAATTATCTTAATAAAGGATTACAAAGTGTATAACATTGTTAGATCCACTTAAACTCCAGCAGAGTTTGCAAGAAATATACAACCACCATAAGTGGGTATGTTTCGTATATCTCATTGTAACTAAATTTTGTTAACCACCAGAAGTGGTGTATGCCTATGACCACTAGAAGTGATAATTTAGACTTTCTATGGTTACAATTAAAGATAAACTAGAGAAATATTCTCTATATTACATGCACGCCTCGATTTGCTCCTGAGGTAGTAAATATTTTAAAAGAGGTTGAAGCATCACAATTTGATGTGATTAATACGTGTTCGGATAATTATGTTCGATTTCCCGAAGGATGAAAATTTTTATAAATATTAATTCATTCCCTGAAGTGAATACGACAATATTAATAAAGTCGTAAATATGAGCGCGCTATTGATGTAAATATATTGCGATTCACCTCTAGAAGAGGTAATATGATTGAGAGAATATATACTTAATTTTTCGTAATTTGCTCCGGAAGAAGTAACACAATTTAAATCCAGAAGAGGTAATATGATTGAGAGAATATATACTCAATTTTTCGTAATTTGCTCCGGAAGAAGTAACACAATTGAAATTTTCTCTCAATGCAGGAAAAATTATGAAACTGTGTCTTTCTGTGCGTAAATAATATAATGAGCTATTCAAAGTTATTTTTGATGCACATTTTTATTCCCTGGAGTGAATGAAGAAATACCATAACTCACCTCCGGAAGAGCTAGAATAACAGAGGATATAAATATTATTTTTGTGGCATAAAGATCATTACCGCACGTACCTGTTGTACGTAAAACATCTTGGATAATTTTATTAAGTATCATTCTAAGGCAAAAGTATTCTTGTAGAATGCTTTCTACTACAACCACATTAATATATTATGGTTAGTTATTGAGTTCTCCGAAGTAAATAACAACTCGTGTATCTTTCCTTAAAAGATGCAATGACTATGTGGTTGCCGTATTGATACAAAGTATTCAAATGTTAATGATATTTCTCCTTGAAGGAGATATTTGTCACAAAGTTAGTGATAGAAATATTAAAATTCTTAATTTTCGTCATTTATAAAATTAGAATTAGCTTTATATTGTTCATTTGATTATGAAATTCTCATGACACCAGAAGTGTCTAAGCAATATTTGGTAGTACAACAAAAGCTCTTGAAGAGTTAACTGTTTGTCTAGAAGACACGAGACACCAGTAGTGTCCGATAAATATTAGATTGTGGATAATAAATGAAGGCTCTCTAAGAGCTTATATACAAATATGTCATTCAGATTATATGATTATGGTCAAAATATATGTTGTAGTAAACCCAAAGTTTACTAATACATATGACTATCACATTGAGACTGCAAATGATTGAAAGATCGAAAATCTTTATGTTTCCACAATCATATGGGGTAAATATGTATGTGAGAAGTTACCTGCTTTATTCTTCAAATTTGTACTACATCATGTATCACAGTAAATCAGAAATTTACTGATACAAAAGTAGCCACAGTAAATAAGAAGTTTACTGATGCAAAAGTTTATACCATAGTAAATCAGAAGTTTACTTAGAGATAGCACATGCCATGATAAACTGGAAGTTTTCATTTGTCAATTTTAAATGAGCTATTTGAGAATTCAGATAAGCATATACTGAAGAACTAGAAGATTCTTCAAGAATTCTCTTGTGTTGCTTGTTCTCATAATAACTTGATTATACCAGCTAAAGTTGGGACTAAAATCCTCGAATTCTGAAATATATAAAAGGTGAATATGGGCCCATTCACCTATCATGTGAACCACTTATAGATGCATATATAAGATGGTTACATGTATGTTTGTTGTCAACCTGCAGTTTGACATTTGAAATTATCTTTCTTAATTAAGAGCATAATTTTCAGATTATGAAATCAAGATAGTTCATCTTGATGATGCTAGTTTATATACAAGCTAGTTTAGCATTGAATACCTCCTATTAATGGCTAAACTATTGCTCATGAGAACAAAGCCTCGTGTGTTGGTTTAAGATTTTCTAAATTGCATACAGCAACACTTGTATGCGTCAGACCAACAAAATATAATAAGTCCTCCCCTCACAATTGGTTTAGGATCAGAAACCAAATATTTTTACTATCTAATAACTTTTGATGTATGGTATATGATTAATTTCTCTACCACAATGCACAAAGATAGGTTTTCCGGAGAAGATTGGGGATATGTGTTAGTTTTTCTAAAATTTAAGGTTTTTCTAAAATTTGGGGGATGGAATAAACAGCAGAAAAATATGCTATATCAATCGAATTATCATTAATATGATCCTCACTTAGAAGATAATTCAAGTCAAATACTAGAAGCATTTGCTGATCCAAAATTAAATATCATATTTCAGCTACAAATGCTCCTATTAAAATTAAAGTCCCTGGAGGATAAAGTTTACTACACGCATGAAGTGTAGTAAACCGATCGGTTCCAAAGGTAACAATCCTTGAAAAGGATAGGAGCAAATGATCAAAATGATCATAATGAGGAGGAAATGAGCTCTAGAAGAGCCCACGACATAACATTTCATGAAACTCCAGAAGAAGTTCAGGTACCTGAAAATAAAGAAAGTGATGAGATCTCAACAAGGTATGTCACTTGCGAACCGATACAAAACGATCGTCGACGATATATTTGATACAATATAGTTCACAATATTGTAAAAGATTGTGAGGATCAAACCTATAGTCCAGACACTTGAAGATGTCATGCCATCTAAATGCAAGTCATAGCCTATATGACTCATTTGATTAAGTCTATATGAAGATCCCTGAAGGATTTAAAATGCCTGAAGCATATAGTTCAAAGCATCGTGAAATGCATTCAATCAGAGTACAAAGATCTTTGTACGGTTTAAATCAATCTGGGCGCATGTGATATAATTGCCTCACTGAATTGATGAATGAAGGTTATGTAAATGATGACATTTGTCCATGCATTTTTACAAAGAAAACAACATCATAGTTTGTTATACTTGTTGTTTACATTAATGGCATAAATATCATAGGAACTCGATAAGAGCTCCAAAGGAAAAAACTTTGTCTTAGTCTGCAAATTGAATATTTAACAGACGAGATCTTTATCCATCAATCTGTCTATATAGAAAAGTTCTTAAAACGCTTTTACATGGACAAAGTGCACCCATTAAGTACACCAAATGAGTGTTCGATCACTTGAAGTGAATAAGGATCCTTTCTGACCTCCAAAAGAGGATGAAGAACTCTTTGGTCCTGAAATACTCTATCTCAGTGCAATTGGTGCACTTATATATCTTGTTAATGCTAACAAAGGTGGTGCAGATCATATTGGTTATGCAGATGTAGATTATTTATCTGATCCACATAAAGCTCGATCTCAAACCGGATACATGTTTACATATGGAGGTACTGTCATATCATGGCACTCCACAAAGCAATCTATTGTTGCTACTTCTTCAAATCATGCTAAGATAATAGCTATTCATGAAGCAAGTAGGGAATATGTATGGTTGGGATCAATAATTTATTTTATTCGAGAAAAATATGGTTTGGAATATGAGAAAAGACCCAAAATTTTATACGAAGACAATGTTGCATGCATAACCCAATTGAAGGGAGGATTTATAAAAGGAGATATAACGAAGAACATTTCACCAAAATTATTCTACACACACGATCTTCAGAAAAATGGTGACATCGATATGCAACAAATCCGTTTAAGTGACAATCCAGCAGATTTGTTCACTTTGCCAACTACAACTTTTGAGAAGATGGTATACAAGATTGGAATGCGGAGACTCAAATATTTGGAATAAGGTTTTCATCAGGGGGAATGAAATACGCGTTGTACTCTTTTTCCCTTACTAAGATTTTTCCCACAGGATTTTCCTTATAAGGTTTTTAATGAGACAACTAGTTATGCGTATTACTAAATATGTGCACTCTTTTTCCTTCACTAGGATTTTTTCCCACAGAGTTTTTCCTAGTAAGGTTTTAACGAGGCACATTATCTTTTAATGAGCATCCAAGGGGGAGTGTTATGAAAATATTATATTGTGGAAGTTCATTCATTACTCCGCTATAAATAAGATTATCCATTTAGTACTCTGTTGAAGTTTATCTTCAAGCAGCTGATGCAGGCAAGTTGCAAGCAACTCAATAAAATAATTTGCAACAACTTTTTATTAAACAGGCAGGTTGCAAGCAGCTCATGCAGACAGCTTACAAGCAGCTAAAGAAAAACCTTGCAGCTGCTTCCTGAAAAACCTTACAACTGCTTCCTGAAAAACCTCGCAGCTGCTTCCTCTCTTCTATAAATAGAGGAGATTTCAGTTCATTATGAAGATAACTTTGAAAGTTGAATAAAATATCAATCTCCCTCTATACTTGTCTTCAGTTTATTTACTTTACAGTCTTTATTTTATAACAATATCCAATTTCTTGCAAAACGATAACTTGATGAGTTATTAGAGTCACGCAGATAAATGTATATTCCCTTGTCTTATTTGGAAAAAAGATGAAGAAAATTAAGAGTAGATCGAAAAACGAATATGACGCTTCCGTTCGGTAAACAAAACAATTGATAGCTTCCAAAATCACAATAAAGCATACCGAGGTGCAAGTTTCCAAAGTAAAAAGAACTTTTTCCTTCATCTTTTTTTATTTCAAAACAATTGCACACCTAAAGAAACAAATAAACAAAACCAAGGAGAACTCCAGTGTACTGATGCTTATCAGAAAAACTACTCAAACCTAGTACTATTAATAGACTTTATAAGCTGCTCTCGATGTCTTTTCTACATAAGAAAGCATATCAAGTAGGAAAACGAGTTCAAAGCTGTCTCAAGTCTCAACACACTGATGTGATCACAATCACAAAAATATCGATTACACAGGAGGAAACAGAAAGAAATGTTCAAGTACTCACAGACACTTCTCATACACACACTCCCAAGGCACTGGTTCTTTTGCATTTACAGATACTTGATCAACATATATATTGCCACAACAAGAACTACAATCCCAAGCACCGATAAAAGCAGGCACATGCAAGAGCAACCACCCTTTGTGCGTTTGTTCAAAATTGCAAGCTTTTTCTGCACTCGCTGTTGAATGATTTTGAAGAATCAGGAAAGAAGAATGAATTAAATGACAGTAAAGAATTCTCACCAAGAATAAAATAACTGAAGAAAAGGAGACGGGCAAGAACTGTCTTACTAACAGAGCAAGTGTCTGTATTAGAGCACGGTGTTTTTTTTAACTGGATGAATGAGCATAGGTGTTGGAATTAGCAGAAAACTAATATATCTCATCCAATGACCAAATACGATAAACTATGTGTGGTCTGGTAAAAAACGCATTCAGATTTCATGTAGATACTCCATAGAGAGCTCTATTGGTGCAGACGCTTTGTTTAGGTTATTTTTTCTTTTTCCTTCTTTTTTGGATAAAGGTGGTGTCTGGGCAAACTTACACGTGCATCGACTTAGGTAGATGTAAGAATTTCACCTAGTTTCGCACTTTCGCCTCTCTGGATCAAACATTTTTTACAAGGTTGTCACTCCAGTTCTTTCAACAAGTTAGGCCCACCCCTCTGTGGACAGATCACTTCGTTTAATAAAGACAGTTAGTTTGCCTTTTTATCAATGTCCCTTCTCCAAAAGATTTCACGAATGTTCCTCCTCCTCCTTAACCTTTTTTTGTGATTCAACGCATTCAGTATNGTCAATTACCTGTGTTATTAGGACAGAAGTGCTTTCCCTTTCACCTATATCCTTAATGTGCTAGCAACTCACCTTTTTTGAAAACACACAACCAGTCTTTAGGTACCATCCCAATAACAAAGACGCACTCGGTGCGTAACAATTTAACTTCTAAGTATTATAACTTATCCCATACTGAACCTCAACACATGACAGTTTTAGACTTTCTTCTCAAATTAAACATGATATGATTAGTCAATCCAAATTGACTGGCCAGTGGCCTCTGAACAATTTTTGCGGAAGCTAGAAGATGTCGCGGACTCTAAGTGAATACACAGACTCCAATGCTCACGAGAACTAGAGTCAAAATCAGGTTCAAGCAAGTGGTCCTACAAGTAACAACTTCTCACCTGAAGTCTTGAGTCTGTAACATCAACATGTTCGTCCAGGTTATCCTGCATTGGGTAAGACAATGAAAGTGCAATGAAACAGTATCCACTTTAGTAGCAGAAAGGTTGTATTTCCGTAAGAAAATAAAGAGTAAATGTAGCTCAATATAAACCGGGAAAATAGAGCTCATACAATAAGTCTTGTTTGCAAGCCAAGTTCTTCATTAACTGCCAGTGCTATATGTTTGGTGCTCATCACTGTCTCCTCCAAACTCTCAAGGCCCTCATCTTGCTCTGATTTGAGAGTAAAGCCAACAAATAAGCAAAATAACAGAAAATAAAAGCCAAAAAATTAGAAACATTTCAAACTAAATACTCCCAAATAAACAAAACTCAATACTCCCTGCGTCTCAATTTAAATAAACACCATGTATAAGTAGTAAAGGATGAAGAAACTACTAAGTAATAATAGATAGACAGCAAAAACGTCCTATCAAAGTAATAATTTGATTAGCTACATAAATCAAAATTCTTGAAACCTGTGAAAATTGTTTAAAATAATTTTTCATATAATGTCATCAAAGTTTAAATTTGAGCAGCCAAGCAAAGGAACAAAGTGTCATACAAATTGAGGATGGAGGAGCAGATAAAAACTTGCCTTTCATAATTTGCCGTTGAAGACCGACAACACCATAATTATCAAGGCCTGTTGCTCTGCTCATAGCATCAACCGGCTTTATTTCTGGTCCAAGCAAGCTGTCCCTATTGGCGAAGCTTGACATGTTCAATGTGGAGGCCATCTGGGTTACTTTCGATTTTAAATTTGCAAGCATATCCTTGCGACGATTCATCTCTTTCTCAGTCCTACATACAGTAGAGAATGCTCATCAAATACATCCAGAACCAGAAGGCAACATAACAATAGTAACAGAAATACGTCAGTTTATTCAAATCTAGAGATGGATGGTGCAGCATGCGCACAAAATTTACAGGGACTTTTGAAAGACACAACTGTCCACACTGTTAAGTCAGATTGCAGAAGAGACTCTTCAGCATTCTGAATTGCCATAAGGACAATTCACATACAACTTATTGTATATACCAACCTAAACCTTTATTTCAGCAGTTCATTTCCATGGAACTCTCAATATTTCAAATTAAATGTGTTCAAAAACTTTATAAGATTTTCAAGGAAAAAAAGAAATAAGAATTTTAACTTTTTACAATATATCAGTTGGCGCTTAAGGGCCGTGAGGCCAAAATTGCAGTATCAAATCCAAGTTGAATTTACTTCGGATTGAGTAATACAGACAAAAACCCTAGGAAACTTTGGCCGAAAAATATGTGATTCATGGGCGTCAAAGGTCCCGGTAAATGGAATTGAAATTGAAATGTCATTTCTAAATAAAATAGGATCAGAAACACATTCAACTAAAGAAACATTCACAATCATGTTAGAAATACATAGCAAGACGGATGACATTCAATAATCAGTAGCAGTTCTAGAAACAGATACAAAATTTACCAAAAACGGCCATTTCTTTTAATTGAGCGGGTTTTTTCCCATCAGCACTCTATCTGTTATATAATAGATTTGCACCCACGCAATAGAAGACTCAATTTAACATGTAATTCTACTTTTATACATAACCATCACAGCCACGCAATGAAAGACTCAGACTAAGAACACTCACAAAGGCTGCTTTCCAGGAAGCTTTGACAGGAGAGACTGTAAGTTATCAAGTCTAGTTCCTAATATTGTGATCTTCCTCCTTATAGCGGATGAATGACGTTGCACTTCTGGGCCTGAAGCGGGCAATGAGCTCTTTTCAGATATCATGTTAGTGATATCATCCGCAATTTTCAGTGCTTCATTATACTCCCGGATCCATGAGTCTCCAGAAGAAGCCATTACCTGACGAGACATCAGAAAAAAATACATAAATTTGCACAGTGACTACAACTTAATCAATCAAAACACCTGTAACAAGAGCAATACAACTTTAAGCTTCTTTTCCGTCATTCAATGTGCTCGGAGCTTTTGTGGAAGATCCACCAAGATAAAAACATGGATCAAAAGAAACGACAGAAAACAAAGGGTAGGGAGACCATACTTTAAACGAAATTCAGAACGTAAGTTCACTCTCTCATGTGATGTGCAATACCATCTACATCCAACAACTTAGTCCAAAGTTGATGAAAAACTAGAGGATCATCAAGATTTAAGTTTGATGTGAGATCAAATGTTTCATGGTTTTCCAACTAAGCAGAACTGCACCTGTGGATTATCCACCAAAAAAAATATGGATCAAAAGAAACCACAGAAAACAAAGGGTAGGGAGACCATTTTCAACGAAATTCAGAACCTAACTTTCTCATGCGGACGTGCAACACCATCTACATCCAACAACTTAGTCCAAGGATGATGAAAGCTAGAGGAACATCAAGTTTAAGTTTGATATGAAATCAGATCTTTCTTGGTTTTCCAACTAAGAAGAAATGTACCTCCTCCCCCCACTGGCAGCAAAGGAAAAAGAATCAAAAGCACCACAAAGAATAAGAAAAAAAACAAAACTAAATAGTTGGAATGTGATATTGAAGCTTACAATGCATTTTTGTTTCCTTCCCAAACAACTAGAGGCAAGAACAATAAATCTTCAATTACGACTTCTTTTTTTATAAACAAATATTCAATAATGACGTAAAGACAGTTATAGCCTATAGGATAGTGGTATAGTGTGATACATACTAAACCATAGCTAATTTTAAGTCATAAGACTTTCGTACTTGAATCAATTAAAGAATTACTAAACTAGCAACCAACTTAATCTGAAGAAAGCAGTAAATTTCTTCCCTTTCTCCAAGGTAATCAAATATCATATGAACTATGAAACTCAACTGCAGAAACTTAGCTCAATTGCAACCAAATATAGACGCAATTCTACAAAGAAAAACATAGCTACAATTATATGAAACAGTTAAAACCCGTATTTTATCTTAAGTATGAAACTCAACTACAAAAAATTAGCTGAATAGCAGCCAAAAACAGCCAAAAATCTAAGTTTCGCGCCGTCCAGAACCCTAATTCTTCACTTGCGAAAAAGAGAAAAATCAATATGCTGGATAATTTTAGTTGAACACCAGAAACAATACCGAATTACGGGTGATTGGATGTACATTCGAGTTAATTACTTGAAGGGGGGAAAAAAAAAAAGCAAGCAATTCAGATGATCGTACATACGTCAATTGAAAAAGAGTTTTATTATTACCTCTTTTTGATCTGAATTCGTGGTGGCGATGGGTGTAATAAGTTAATAACTTTAAAGGAAAGGCGCCACACACTTTACCGGCAAAGTTTTGTCCAGCTCCGTCGTCGTCTTCTTTATTGTCACGTTGAGACAATGACAAGGAGTCACTAATACACTACGAATTTCCATTGAAACGACTTTTATCTTTTTCCGTGAAAATAACATTTACACTTTAATTAAATGAGAGTAAAAAATAAAAAAGATTAACTGATACTTCAACTTTTCCGTTAGAGCATGTCGTCGTTTTGACATTCACAATAGTCCGACAGACAATGAACGTCGTTCCTCATTTTTTTTTTTTCTCCTTGAATATTACTGAATTGAATTTATATTTCAAGAACACACGTATTTTCACTAATAATTTTTTATATTCTGCAATTTTTTGAAAGTGAAATTTATGCTCCAGTACAGTTTTAACCTTCATAATCTTATTTTCAACTTCAACTTAAATATTGACCAAACCTCTTATTATTCATACAAAATTTACTAAGATATCGATGAGTTTTTAATTTATAATAGGAGTAACATTTCAGGGAGAGGTGTTAAAATCTCAAAATCAATATTTATTGTTATAAACAACTTAATATCGTAAAAATAGCACCTGCTAGTCAGTTTTCGGACTGATAATTAAAAAATAGTCAGCGTTTACAAAGTCATTGAAAAATAGCTATTATTGTGCTGCAACACGAAAAGTTCCAGCATAATATACTGGAGATTGGTGTACGTGTGTATGAACTTCCAACATATTATGCTGGAACTCCAGCGCACGGAAAATTCCAGCATAATATACTGGAGATTGGAGCATAAGTGTATGAACTTTCAACATATTATGCTGGACCAGTATATTATGCTGGAAGTTCACATGTAAAAAATTGGAACTCCAGTATATTATGCTGGAATATTTTCCGGATTTTGAACAGTGTTTTCGTTCAGATTTATCTTTACATGAAAATGATTAAATTTCAATTACTTTTAAAAACGTGGCTATTTTTCAATTAACACTTGTAAATTTAACTATTTTTGAATTTCACTGCTAGTACTTGGGCTCGATTTGATGCTATTGAAATATTGTTTAGTTTTAAGCTTTAGAAAACTAAAAATAGTACCCGCACTTCATTCGTCGGCTATTTCTATCAAATAAGTCAATTACAGTTTAATCACTAATGGAAAAGAAATAGTAATAAAAGTAATGTGCATGTTGTAGGTTTATTGCAACCTTTAGGACTGTTCATGTCTCGTTTATTTTTATCGAGATTAAGACGTATGAATCTAAATATATATCTGAACTTTAAGATGTGCGTTAGGATTAAGATATTTAAATCTGGATACACATTCGAATATTAAAATATCGTATTAATATATGAATAATAAATAATTAAGACTGTTTGATTTCTCAACATCTGAATATATAAAACTTATCTTTATTTAGAAATTAATAAATATAATATTCAAATAAAACACTAATGAATCTAATAGTATATCAACAGAATTCTTATAAATTTACATGGCGAATATTGGTAGTGATCGATAATGGTGGTGATTGTGGGTGTCGATTGGGGTGCTAGTTGGTGATGGTGGCTGAAACTAGTGGCTATAGATAATATTTGATAGTTGTAATTTATGGTGGCGGAAGATAATTTTGGTATATGATAATGATAGCTAACGGTGGTGGTGATTGATAATGGTTGTTGATGATACATAATGGTAGATGATAGTGGTGATTATCGACGGTGATTGATGATTGTTGTGGTAATGGTAGTTGAGGGAGAAGATGTTGGCTTGGACGCGAGTAGTATGTTTACCATGACAATAGAGTGTATTAGGGAAGGTTGCTAGAGATGTGTTAGGGGTCACGAAAGGTTACTTCGGGGGCCACAAAGGAGACTCATGGTAGAATGGTGAGGTGCAAGGAAAAGTGAAAGCCAAGAAATTGGCATATGTCAAGCTAATTGAGAACGTTGACTAGGAGGAGGAGAGGGGAATAGGGAGTATTATAAGAATGCAAAGAAAGAGGCCAAGTTAGCGGTCACGGAGGCCAAGACTGCATCGTTTTAACGTTTGTATGAGGAACTTGGGGGCAGAGGTGGTATCAAGAAACTGTTTAGGCTAGCCAAGGTTAGATAGAGGAAGGATTGGGACCTAGTCCAAGTGAGGTGCATCAAAGACGAGGAATACAAGGTATTGGTGGAAGAGATGTGTATTAGGCACAAGTGGCAGACATACTTTCATAAACTCTTGACCGGGAATAGGGATAGGAACATTGTACCTGGGGAGTTGGAGAGCTCGAAAAATGGGTTTTGTATGTGTATTACGGTCGATGAGATGATGCAAAAGATGAGTAGGGATAGGGCGACCGGGCCAGATGAGATTCCGATGAAATTTCGGAAGGACGCTAGCCGAACAGATTTAGAGTGACTTACTAGACTATTTAATATCATTTTTAGTACAAAGAAAATGCTCGAAGAATTGAGGTAGATTTCGATGGTTTCATTGTACAAGAACAAGGGTGATGTATATAATTACAATAACTATAGGGATATCAAGATGTTGAGCCAAAATATGAAAGTATGGGAGAGGGTAGTGGAGAGCAGGGTGGGGAGGAATGTGTCTAATTTCGAGAATCAGTTCGAATTCATGCCGGGCGATTGACTACTAAAGCTATTCATCTTGTAAGGAGATTGATAGAATAGTATAAGGAGTGAAATAATGACTTGCATGTGATATTCATAGACCTAGGAAAAGCCTAGGACAAAGTCATAAGGGAGGTTATATGGAGATATTTAGAGGTTAGCAGAATTCTGGTAGCGTACATTAGGGTGATCAAGGATACATACGATTGGGCTAAGATTAGGGTGATGACTGTGGTAGGAGGCTCAAATTATTTTTTAGTGGTGATGAGGTTGCATCAGGGATCAACTTTTAGTTTTTTTTTTTTCTTTTCTATGGCGATGGATATGTTGACACAACACATCGCATGAGAGGTATTATGGTGTATGTTATTTATCAATGACATAGTGTTGATTGATGAGACACGTTATGGGATTAACACTAGGCTAGAAGTGTGGAGACATACCCTAGAGGATAAAGGTTTCAAGTTGAGTAGGACAAAAATAGAATACTTTGAGTGCAAGTTCAGTGTTGGGACACATAAAGCATAAGTGAACGTGAAGCTTGATATACAAGTTATCGCCAAGAGAGATAGTTTTAAATATATTGGGTCTGTAATACAAGATAATGGGAATATTGATGAGCATATTACTTATCATATTGGAGCGGGTGAATAAAATGGAGGCTCGCATATAGTGTTTTGTGTGATAAGAATATACTGCCAAGACTCAAGAGAAAGTTCTACTATGTGGTAGTTAGACCGACTATATTGTATGAAGCCCAGTGTTGGCCAGTCAAGAAGATGAAAGTAGCAGAATTGAGGATGTTGAGATGGATGTGTGGGCATACCAGAAAATATAAGATTAAGAATGAAGTTGTTAGGGACAAGGTGGGTGTGGCTCCCATGGAAGATAAGTTGCGAGAATTGAGACTGAGATGATTCGGGCATGTGAAGAAGAGAGAAAATGATGCCATAATTAGGAGGTGTGAAAGGTTGATTATGGCGGTCAGATGAGGGATAGATAGAGGCTTAAGAAGTATTGTGGAGAGGTGATTAGGCAGAACATGACACTATTTTAGCTTATCGATGACATGACCCTCGATATGAAGGTTTGGAGGTCGAGAATTAGAGTTGTGCGTTGATAGGTGGTTGAGAGTTTCTCCTAGTCTTACCAACAATATTAGTACTAGTCTTATATTTTCCTATTCCTATTACATCGTTATTACTCAGTGTGTCATTTTTTACCGACAGTATTGGCATTATTCGTATATTTTTTTTATTCCTAGATATTTGTTATTACATATTACATCATTTGCTCCTGTTGTCCTATTAATTTGTTGATGTTAATGTTTGTTTATTGCTCCCTTTTATGTTCTTGAGCTGAGGGTATACCGGAGGCAGCGTCTCTATCATCACAAGGTAGGGGTAAGGTCTGCGTACATTCTACCCTCTCATATTTCACTTGTGAAATTTTGCTAGGTTTGTTGTTGTTATTGTTGTTGGATAATACTAGTGACGGCTGACTATGGTGATTGGCAGTAGTGATTATGGCAACCAACCCACACCGAAATGGATAGTATAAAGTCCTCAAGCTTTTCATACTTTTGGAGAACTTCCAACTACCAAGGAGACGAAAAGCTATGTGAAGTAAAAGAAGAAAAGGTTGTCGATTGCTACTACGAACCTAATGGAACTTTTCAAAATGTGGGTTAAAAAACAACTTAAGAGAATAGTATTTTTGGATGGTCGGTGGTAGTAGTTGATTTTGGTTGACAACGATGACGGTGCTAATTGTTGGTTATGCTTGGTGATGGCGGCAATGGTTAGCGATAAAAACGAATATCTTAATGAAATTAAGACTTTATTATAAGTCTTAATTATTTAGGACCATTACGTGTTCATAAAATAAATTTTAAAAGATAAATTCACTTAATGATTCATATCTGAATAATTAAAATTAAACTTTTAAAATAAATGTAGTTAATGTCTGGGATATAAATTATTAAGATTTAGATCCTCATTAAATGCAAACAAATGAGAATTTAGTATACCTTTATCTTTAGTAGAATATTACTTTTATGTAATAAAAAAGTTAGGTAAAAATTTCATGTCACACCCTACTTGCACTTTGCTATTTAGCCTTAATCAGCTTTTTGTATATTTTTTAAATTAGTATCCAATTTAAGCAAACTTTATATTCTTCTCCTTTTCCTCCTTTTCCTCCTCCTCCTCCTCTTCCTTCTCCTTCTTCTCCTTCTCTTTCTCCTTCTTCTCCTTCTCCTTCTTCTTCTTCTTCATAGTGCGCAAATATAAATAAGAATTATTTAGGTAAAAAATTCATGTCACGCCCTATTTGTACTTTGCTATTTAGCCTTAATCAGCTTTTGTATATTTTTTAAACTAGTATCCAATTTAAGCAAACTTCATATGCTTCGTCCTCCTCCTCCTCCTCCTCCTCCTCATCATCATCATTCTCTTCTTCTTAGTACGCCAATATAAATGA